TAATTCTATCAAGTCTTGAAAAATGTTAGTGTCTTGGAATATATAATATCATTTTTTATAATTTATTAAACGTTTACTGAGTAAGTGGTTACTAGCTAGAATCGGCATCTTCACTTACATGATCGGGTAACATTCTTGGCCAATGGATTATTAGTGAACGTCTTGAACCTACTAAGCATTCACCCGATAAGATTTTCGGTTTTTATTATGCATTTTATCCGGTAAGATTCTCATTGTAATACTCACTTGATAATATAGTGACACCAGATAAACACTTACTCGGTAAACGTTAGATAAATAATCCGTAACACTTATGGTTCCAAAATATATGTTTTTTGTATTTTTACAAAGATAAAAATCCAAATTCAAGAATTAAATAATAATAATAAATAATAATAATAAAAAATAAGTTTGAGGGTGATTGTTGGAGGGTTTAAAAACCGCAAGCGTCTATTTTCCTTTGACGTTGGAAGCTAATCTTTATGTGTTAATTAATGAGAGGTCTCTCAATCTAATAAAATGTTTTGTTGACAAATCCTCATAGTTTTTGTTCAAACTTCATTTATTTATGATATTAAAATATCTGTAAGATTCGTGTTCAACAATTATAAATCATAAATAAACGATTTTCGTGTTTTTAAACACTATCATGACTTTTAATTACAAGTGCAATGTTCGAATTCAATTAAATTTGAAATCGGGCGGAAATCTTATTTCTAAATAGTCGGCACGTAATATTTCAACTTCAAGTACCTAAAAGGTTATAGGTTTTAGGTGACACAAATTTGTTGAGCTGCCAAGAAAATGATGGATATAGATATAGACATAGACTACTAGAGTAGTTGTTTTCATCGGTCTTATCATCCGTATTTAAAAGTTTGTAACTGGCAACTTCTGCGGCGGATCATACTGTGTGACTTGAAGTGTACCATGTGAGAGAGTTAAATCAAGTAAAAAATTATGACCGTTGAGTGGCTGATTCGAAAGCTTAATATTGTAAGGAATCCAAAATCCCTTAAGGAATTATAACTCTCACGTTACGACTGTTAGACTTACAACCTTGTCTATTCGTGACAAATATACTGTATTAGAAATCAACCGTGCTATGCCCCTATGGATTTAAAAGTTTGTCGTTTATATTTTTTAGTTTTATAATTTAACTTTTTTATTTTGTATGTGGGGAGAATAAGGATGAAGATATAGTATGATTATCATTTATTAAATTCATGACAATGGAAAAATAAACACTACAACAACTGTGTAGCTGATGATACCAAAATTTGTTGAGCCGGAAACTTTACCAGCATGAACCTAAAATGCTTGTATCAAGTGTCTGGATTTGATATCGTTTATGATAAAACCGTTAGAACTCTCGCCTCAGATATATACTTAGAAATATGCTCTGGCAGTCAACTCAATATATGAAATGGAGAATACAAATTAAACGACAAAAGAATAAGCTGATCCAAATGATCTTGTATTACATCATATTCTTGACGAGTATTTATACCCTTCATATAGATACCACATTCCATATGTTAATTGCCCTAGCACCAACCACGAGGTAGAATGTGGGAATATTGTTGTCGGGTACAAGTTGTTTGTCGTATGAATGGTGTGTGAATTGTTGGTATAGACGAAAACCTATTTGTCGTTTACGCCCACCCCTGTTCCATTAATTTTCACCCTCTATCTTTTAATTCTCCAGATCCAACTTTCGTTGCAATATTTGGTTCCGTCACTTGATTCGCCCTTTGACCCAACAGTTTGATTCCGTATTTTAATTTGACCTTCTACCCAGGAGACTTAAGACTACACCATTACAAACTACAGTAAAAAAAAAAGATTCATCACTTACATAAATTTTAGAAAATAGACTTTTGGTAAGCGATGAATACAATCTTACGTTTATTTATTTGTTATTTCGGATTAATTTATTATAATTATGAAAATAATTAATATTATAAAAATGGGAAATAATAACAGAAAAAAATATCAAAGAGTATAATAATATCTATTTTAGCATTAAAGAGTATAATAATATCTATTTTAGCATTATCAGTAGTAAAAGTCACTCTCACGTAAAAGAAGTCTATTTTGATGCGTGATATTATTATAAACACAAGATTTCATTGTCTCGTATCATTTATTACTATTAATTAGTCATGATTATGGACTCTTCTAGAGGGTAATTTGGTCTTTTGCAAACTACAAAAATTATATATAGTTTTATAAATCTTATTTTAAGAACACATCACTACTCGATCTATTTTTATATTTTAAATTAACTCTTAATTTTATATTAATTTATTTTCATCCTTATTATTACTAAATCCTTTTACTAACCATGAATTTTAAGGGGGGTGTTTGAGATTGTTTATAAAAATAATTTATTGACTTATTTCGGTGTGACACATATAATAAACATTTTTGAGTGTTTGGATAAACAAACTATACAAGTGTCAAACCGGTAATAAAAAGTTTTTGAAAAAGTTAAATTCTTATAACTTATGATAAGTTGATAAATGTTTTTGTAAGAAAATGTAAGTTATTTCAAATAAGCAATCTCAAAAACACCCTATGTCACCATTTTTCTTAACTACTTATTGCTCGGTTGACATGCTACAGGTAAGGACCACACATGCTAATAACTTGAACTTGATTGACATTAATTAATTTATCGGCGTTGATGTCGCTACTAATTACTATTATTAATTATATATACATACAGATATTTTTCTTACTTTTGTATGTGCGTATGTGTGTATTTTAAGTATTTGAATTGATTTTTATTTAACATATAAATTTATATTTAAGTTGATTAGAATGGTATTCGCACAATGTAGCGAGATACATCTCGATTTTAATGTTTTTTTTTTTTGTCTCAGTCGATGTTATAATACGATTTTATCTGGTTTTGAGAAAACTATGATGTTTTTTATTTTGAATAAAATATAAATAAATATTATCAAAAATTGAAAAAAATATTGATATTAGTATCAAACTAACTATTTACAAATTTTCGTTTTTTATGTATTTTTTAATTCATTTTTTTATTTTTGGTTTAATAATATAATTTTTTATAAAGATAATGATCAAGTATTTTGTTAGAAGTTAATGATTATTCCAATTACATTTTAGATTTTTTATATTTAAAATGTGATATTTATTCTTTATCCGATTATGTTTATATGCAGTTAGTTACACGAATTCAAACATAAAGTTTTAATAAGTCGTACTTACGTACAATTTACTTGTAATCTTGAATTTTAAATAATATACATAAAAATGGGTTTTAAGAGTTTTTATCAAATGCTTTATAATATATAGTATAGATATAGATTAAAAATAAATAAAAAATATGTGACCTAACTTTTTTAAGAGCAAAAAACGATTTAAAAAAGATGAGCATAAATGGTTATTTTTACAACTTGATATTAATTAATGGAAGTCGTTTTCACATAAAACAATAGCTGTATCTTTTGTGCGTTTAGTTTTCATGAGCCGTACGCATGCTATGACTTCATGCAACCATGTTTTATCAACCTCTTTTTTGTCTCAAAATAAATATACATAACATGTTTTATTCACAAAAAACCACAATTATCTAACGAATTTAAAACCCATAATCAAGTCAAAGATGCTTAAGTTATCGCTTTTCACACGAAAATAAGGTATAGAACGATATATAGAAGAATAAGAAGACTCAAGCAATCCATCTAAACTGTAATATTGAGATAACACGACAAATATGTTTAAAAATGGGGTTTTTTTAATCAAAATTGGTGAAGTATAACAAAAAAATTAGAACGGAACGAATTAAAACATGAAAACGATGACTTTATTATAATTTGAATTGAAATCCGTCGTTATACATATTTTTTTATATGCTTTTTCGTAATTTTCGGTTCCTGTTCTTAGGTTCTCTCTTGACCTCACATATATATAGAGAGGGAAATAATCAATGAAAATCATAAAAATGTTATAAACCCGTGAGAACTAATCTCAAAATCTTAATTATATGATTTTTTTAAATCGCCCGTTTCGCTTCTTTTTGTGTTCATATTATGATAAAATACATATGAAAACTTTTTTTTTGATTCATACTGTTAAATGAAAAATATAAGTTAAAAGGTTTCACATTATAAATCAAATATATATGACACAATATATATTAAATTATAACGTAGTGGCCGTTTACCACACTTACCCGGTAAGCACTTAATAGTAAAATTCAACACTATCACTTACTTACCAGGTAAGATTTTAGTCAACAAAAACGACATCGTATGCAACAATTTACCTAGTAAGCGCTAACCGTGGTAAGAGTCCTCGTTCTCACTTACCGGGTAAGACTCTTGGACCTTGTCTTACTCTTACCGAATAAGATTTTTGGTCCTTACCATATTCATCCGGTAAGTTAACATGACTTGGTAAACATTTATCCAGATAAGCGTTTGATAAACGACTTCTAGATGATAAAAGATCATGTAAAATAATATGTTGAAATTGGTTCTCATAAATTTATAATTTTTTGTTGGTTCTGATATGATATATATATATATATATATATATATATTTGTTTTTTTTTTATTTCATAATAACTTTATAAAAATATTGGAATTTGGAAGTTGACAAGAAATAGGGGAGTGATGGGGGAGTAGTATAAATACAGCTTCACATAGCAACATAATGAGAAGTGTGCTTCCTTCCTTTCTTGATTTCTTTGACCTTCTTGTCTCTTTCACTAGCAACCCTAAAGCAAATTGATTTTGAAATCATTCCATTCTACCTTTCCAACTGTTCTTCGTGATTGCTAAAGGTACAACTCATTTATGCACACACGTACAAGTCTGTGTTTCGAATCTTGCCCGTAGATTGCATCACGTCATGGGTTTTCAAGTACTGGGTTGTTGTTGTGTTGTCAAACTTATCATCTTCATGAGCAAGAAAACAAGAACAAATCCCTTTCCTCTAATTCCAATTAATACAATAAGACATCTTTAGTTTCATTTGTTAAATACAAGTTGAGTATTCTTGATGAATCATGACAAATCTTGTTTTGTTTTGTAGCAGGAAATTTGCAGCCATGGAAGTCACCCAAAATCTTGGAATGAAGAAAGATGATTCCCCTGAAATAATCCCTTCACTGATTAGATCTATAGATGCTGATCTACTTGTGGGATTTGATGATGGTCTAGTTTTGAAGCAAAATGTCTCAGATTTTGAATTCATGGTATGTCCTTTTTACTTGAATCGATCGATGGATGAATTCATTTGTGTTCTTGAAGATTGGATTAACGTGGTGTTTGATTTTTATTAGGATTCTGAAGGAAAGAAACTCGAATTCGGAAGCTCGAATGTCGATTTGCAGCACCATAGAACACCATCGATTTCCATCAGCATGCCACCGTCTCCGATGGAGGTCCATCTGCAGAACACCAAAAGGGTTGCATTCAGAGATGATGTTGAACTTGTTGCCAAGAATGAACCCACCAGTTCAGCCACCAAATTCCACTCTCAGCCCATACCCACCGGCGTTGGTTTCGAGGAAGCTGTTGCCGCCGGGAAATTCCCAAATCGGCCGGTGAGAAACCCGAGGATTGATAATCTGCAAGATGAAAGATATAACTCGTTTAAAACATGGTCAGGTAAACTTGAAAGACAACTCTCGACTTTACGCGGTAAGCCACCAACTGAACTGCCGGTGAATACTCCCCGGAGCGAAACTTTGCCGGTAGACCGGTATTTCGATGCATTAGAAGGACCTGAGTTGGATACGCTCAGGGTATGTTTAACTATCCCCTCCTCCTCCTCCATTTGATCGGAAAACTTTCATTTTCTCTTACAAAATTCTAACTTTTCCGTTGTCTTCTTCAACAGCCATCGGAGGAAATAATTCTTCCCGACGACAAAAACTGGCCTTTTCTTCTCCGGTATCCGATCTCATCATTTGGTGTATGCCTGGGTGTCAGTAGTCAGGCGATCATGTGGAAGAATTTGGCATCGACTCCTTCGACGCATTTCCTTCACGTAAGCCCGAATGTGAACCTGATTCTATGGATAATATCGGTCGTTCTTTTTGCTGTTGTGGCCTCCATTTATCTTCTGAAACTGATCTTATACTTCGAAGCTGTTCGTCGAGAATATTATCATCCAATTCGAGTCAACTTCTTCTTCGCGCCATGGATCGCTTTACTGTTCTTGGCCATCGGAATTCCGTCGACCGTCGCCACTAATCTACCGCATTTTTTGTGGTATGTTCTTATGACACCTTTCTTCATCTTGGAGCTCAAGATTTACGGACAGTGGATGTCCGGCGGACAACGGAGGTTGTCGAAGGTGGCCAATCCGTCTAACCATTTATCTGTCGTCGGAAACTTCGTCGGAGCTTTGTTGGGTGCGTCAATGGGGTTAAAAGAAGGGCCGATCTTCTTCTTTGCGGTGGGAATGGCTCATTATACAGTTTTGTTTGTGACTTTGTATCAGAGACTTCCCACCAATGAAACTCTGCCGAAAGAGCTTCATCCTGTTTTCTTTCTGTTTGTTGCTGCTCCAAGTGTTGCTTCAATGGCGTGGGCAAATATTAATGGATCATTCGATTATGGGTCTCGACTTGCTTATTTCATCGCCATGTTCCTCTATTTCTCACTGGTTAGTTCCTGCTTTTATTTTCTTTATCTCACTTATCAATAGCACAAAGTTCAAATCCAAGGAGGAATAAAAATCTCTTAGAGGTTTAAATGTGGGGACTCCAAATTATCTGTAAAGCAGGTAGTCGTCCTGAGATTAGTCTGCTTACATAGCAGGTTGGATATCCAGATTAATAAAAAAATTTGTTTAAAAAAAATAACTACTCGCAAAACAGTTGTTTGTCCTGAAATTAGTCTCTTTGACTTTTTATATTTCCGATTTTATTTTATTGTTGTGTTACTATAGATTTGATGATCTAAAGCGACCGTTTCTATGTTGTTTTACAGGCGGTACGAGTGAACTTCTTTAGAGGATTCAGGTTCTCGTTGGCATGGTGGGCATATACTTTTCCGATGACCGGAGCTGCAATCGCAACGATCAGATACTCGAGCGAAGTGTCAAACGTCGTGACTAAATCTTTGTTGGTTACTCTCACGGTGATTGCAACCCTGACAGTGACCGGCCTACTCGTAACCACGATTTTGCATGCTTTTGTGTTGAGAGATCTGTTTCCAAACGACATTGCGATCGCCATCAGTGACCGGAAACCGAAAACTGTTCGGAAATGGTTTCATCGGAGGGCCGGCAGCTACGAGAAAGATATCGAACATTACCTTAAATTTGTGACCTCCGATGAGAAAGATGTGGAAGTTTCTGTGCAGGGAAACGGCACTAAAGATATTGAAAGCCAAACAACATTGCCAGCTTGAAATGGGTCGAGGTTTCAGTGATCAGACAATGGAGGGACTTAGAGGTTCTGATGATGTTGGACGTTGACTTTTTTTTAATGTGTGAAAGGAACATGTAGGATGGTGTTGAGTTGTAAATTTGGTGAACAATAAATATTATGATATTTTATGTCTCCATTGATTTCAATAATTGATTTAAGTTTATGATATTAATTTCACGTTTATTTTTTTTAAAAGGTGTTTGAAGTTTAAAAATTTTATTTCACTTTTAATTAATAAGAGCTAGTGTTGAAGTTAAAATCTGAATCAATAAGGCTTTGTTTTTGTAAACAGACAAACGTTTGAAATCTGAATCAATAATTTGTTTTTGTAAAATCAGGTGCAAATTTTTTGCAAATTGTCTTGATTTTCATAAAATTCTCATTGCTAAAATTTATCTCAACAATTGCTTAACAGATAGAACATGGTAGGAACCTTTTGGATACCTTTCAGACTTCTGATGTTATCGGGAATGTCGCCGATGAGTTTGTTTGTGGAAAAATTGATACTTTTGATATAGGATAGATCGCCGATAAAAGTTATTGTTTCACATTAATCTTAAGATAGTGATGAAAGGATGGTGGCGTCCCTGGTGGAGAAAAAAACAAGCGCCAAAGAGAATCAAAGAAAAGAGAAAATAAGAGGAATTAAAATATTAGTTTACCTTTTATTTATTCAGACCCTATTAAGTGATAAGAGGTTCTGAAAATAATAAAAAAACAGTCTAAATTAGAATCTGAACGAATCAGACATAAGTGGTAATTAAGAGCTGAAAATGAAAAAAATAAACAATGCCTAAGGGGTTGTTTGGTTCATGGATTTGGATGGAATTGAAAGGAATTGGAATGACCAAATCCTTTGACCAAATTCCAAATACAATGTTTGGTTCATGGAATTAAACTGATGAAATCCTTTCAATTCCAATAAATTCTTTCACTCACGGATTTTACATTCCACGCCAATACCCTTGGATTTCAATTCATTTCCAACAAATTCCTTCCATAATCCAAATTCATTTAACGTTGCGTCTACCATCTCATCTAATTGATCTCTGGTTCAATTTCCATCTGGTACGCTCTCGCGCGTGCTCTCTCTCTCTCTCTCTCTCTCTTTCTCTCTCTCTCGTAATTTCTCCATCTATACGAGATCGATAGACAACATATATAATCAAGGAATCAATTCAAGATAACTAGCTATCGATATCACTAGTCCAATTCCGTTATTCAAAAATCATAAAAAGTCATTTGTTGATATTTAATTCCGATTCCAAAGTTGAATTCCATGAACCAAACAAAAAAATTTCAATCCGTTAAGAATTTCATTCCAATTCCATGCAACCAAACGCACTCACAAGACATGGTCAAATTCCATCAAATTGCATTTCATTCCCTCAAAGTCGAATTCATTTGATGAATTCCTATTCCATCGAATTCCATTCTACAAACCAAATGCCCCCTAAGTGTTTGTTGGGATTCTCAATGATCTACGTATAATTTTTGGTAGAGTGTGGTTTTGATCTTAGTCATCCTCATAACACAAGCAAATACATATGCATAGAGTTATTGAAAATGAGGCATGATTGGTATGAGAAATGGCCATAACTTGGTAACATTTGTTTAGATGCTAAAAGGAAATACTAAAAATGAGTCAGGAACAAGTTTTGGTGACTATGGTGGTTGTTGGGTATGCAGCAGATGCACCCGAGGTCGAACGATTAGACTTTTTCATCTCCATGGAAAGGTAAAAAGACCTTTAGATAGGCATATTAGATCGGATATATTACATCGATTAAAACTAACAACTAGGAGATAGTACTAGAGGTTACAAAAAAATATACAAAAGATAAATTATAAGATGTTAGGCTTATCTGTTGTATCTTCAACACGCCCCACAAGCCGAATGACCTTTGGGCTAGGCCGATCTTGGAAGATAGATCATGAAAGTGGGTTCAAATGAGAGGCTTTGTAAGAAAGTTTGTCAATTGGTTACAACATGGAATATGTTGGAACGAAGAGCTCCAAGTTGAACTTGTTCTCGGACAATATAAAAAGCCAAGGAGAGATGTTTAATTTGGGAATGAAATTATGGATTAGCTAAGTAATTTGTTGAACCTAAATTTTCACCACAAATACTTGGGGTTATCGTATATGTACCCCTAACTCGAAAAGGAGGGACTTTAACCAGAGTATTTCTACAGTCGTTGAGGCTATAACTTTGAATTTTGCCTCAATGGTGGAGTGAGCTAGACTTTTATGTTTCTTTAAGCTCCATGACAACAGGTTTCTTCTTAGATTAATAATATAATGGTTTGTAGAGATGTAATTGTCCTTGTCACTAGCCCAACCTGCATCACAGAAGGCATGTAGCCAAGGAGGGGAGGCCCGATGTAGAATCAATCTGTGATGTTAAGTGGCTTTGAGATAGCATAGGAGCCTAGAAAGTGTTTAAGAGCAGCCTAATGAAGATCGCTTGATTGGCGCATGTATTGCGATAAACGATTGACAACAAATGCAACATTGAGTCGAGTTAGAGATAGGTATTGAATGCTACCCACAAGAACAAGATACTTAGTCGGGTTGCCAAGAGCAGTTCCATCATGGAGATTGAGACGAGGGTTGAGTAACTTTTGGAGTTAGAAGCAACTTTGCATCCAACAATTTTTGACCCGGTCAAAGATATCATGGATATATATTTATTCTAGCAATACCTCAACTCCAAGAAAATAAGATAAAGGACCCGAGTCCTTTAACTAGGACTTTGTAGCCTAGTGTGTCGAGAACTATTGAAGCGTCAAAGAGGAAAGAGAAAGAGAAAGACCCATGATGATGATATCATTGACTTAGATAAGTAGGTAGAAGGTGGCCGTCTTTGTGTTATAAAGAAAGAGTGAAGGATGGGCGATGGAATTCCGAAAGCCAAATGATAACAAAGAAGCACTTAGTTCTTAATGCCAAGCCCCTGGGACTTGTTTTAGACCATATATAGCCTTCTTGAGCTTGCATACATGAGTGGGAAAATTTTGTCAAGAAATCACGGAGGTTGAGACATGTATACAATTTTGTTGAAATGGCCTTGAAGGAAGGTGTTATTTTTGTCAAGTTGGCAAATAAACCAAATATTAGTGATGACAAGATAGATCATGAGTTGTACGGTGATTGGCTTAATTACCGGATTGAAGGTTTCAGAACAATCAATCACCGATAGTTGATGGTAACCTTTGGCCACGAAACGAGCCTTGTATCACTCAATGGTGTTGTTCAGTTTGTAATTGATATGATACACCTACTTGCAATCTATTATGTCTTAAGAGGGGTGAGATGGTACCAATTCCCACGTATCATTATGATTGAGAGCCTCATGTTTTGAAATCATGGCATTATGTCATTAAGGATCCTTGAGATCTTGGGTAATGGCCAAAATTTAGTTTCGGGCTGGGCCGGGCCGAAACAGTGAATATCCGGACAGGTCCTAATTAAGGGTGTTAGTAATCGGTTAGGGTAACCGCTCCCGAGTCGGTCTCAAATTGGTTCTTTCATAAATAAAAAAAAATTCTTGGTAAATTTTTAACAATATTTTAATGTTATTCTTATACACTTTAATATATGTAATTGGATCACTCAAATACACTTTAAATATATGTTTTATTATAATTTAGATTTAGTAAACCATTTATTTACATTCAAATATTCAATTAATAGAAAAAACACTTATTCACCATTGGAATCCCATGACATATTGATTTGAACAGTTTTGGTGGCTTGACATCTTCTAATAGCCTTTTGGTCATCAAGATCATCAATGGCGAGTTTCTCATCATCGTCATATATTTTGAGAAAGTGTTGTCAATACTGGTAGTTAGCGGCGTACTTAGTCCAATGGCGATTTTGTTTCTTCCATGTTTTCTTCCACCTCTAATGATTGTGTGTGTTGATGCACTATCCAAGTAATTCTTCAAACATACGAAACACTCTACTGTCTCCTAGCTTAGTCTTGTCCATCGTATTGAAATATTCCTGCCACTAGCAAAAAAGGCAAACCCCGAAACTACGGTACTAGTCTGGACTATTAGTATATCATGGGCATGAATACCAAAACTGGGAATTGAGGTTGCTTTTGTTTTTAAAAATCTAATACATCAATTTTTTGTCAAAATTTTCGACATCATTTGTGAGGCATGCGGCCACAAAATTAGTATATATGTACATATTTAATTCACCCAAATAGTTATTAAATCGACTTTTTTTTACTTGATTCATTTAAATTTTCGTTCATTAAGTTAGTCCTCAACTCTTTCCGGCTTTGGTGATGACCACTAGGACTATAACTCATAAATAAATGACTTGAAGAGTTTTGTTGTTGGCTTTCTCCCTCACAATATTGTTTATAATGATCAACTAAATCTTGAAAATTATGATTAAACAAAAAAATTCCGTTGAAAAAGAGTTATTTGTAGCAGTATCTAAACCAAAAGCCACACATATTTTTTTAATTAAAACTTTAACACCGGTAACATTTAAATTCATGTTTTGCATCATGGCATAAAGGAAAACAAATGGGATGCTGAAAAAATATTTTAACAATTTTTTTTCATTGAACTTATCAACCTTCCTCAATCATGATAGTATTCATATTGTGAAATCTTATTTGCCAAAATAAATAATTGATTTAAAAGTAAAGGTTTTGTTGGATAATAAATACTAGATAAAAGAGTTGTTTCATTTTTAAAATCGCCCAAAATATCGTATAATCCTTCAACTACCGCCCAATCAAGACTTCCAATAGAATTTTGGTAATAAATATTATAAAATGAAAAAAAAATGATTTCTTGTTTTAGCAAATTTTCAATCATAAAATAAGTCGATTTCCATCTAACGGACATAATAAACCTTGGTTCCCAAGCTTTAAAACAAACATCTTCACAATATTTTCCATGTGCCACGTGCATTTTCTTTTATCATTTGTGAAAATTTTCCGTAACATAAGTTTAAACTTATCTATTACGGGTTTACAAGTATTTAAACCATTTTAAACGGCTAAATTTATTATGTGTGCACAATAACGTGTATGAAGTAATTTACCTTTTAAAGTAGAGGTCAAAGCTAACTTTAATTTCTACACATATAGATTATTAATA